GAAAACTCCCTTAGTGTTCTATTTTCTGCCATTTTAACAACTATGACCTCTGGTTCAACTGTAGCCTTTCTTTCTCTTCTTTCTCTGTTAAGTCTTCTAGTGGTTCTTTCAATCTCATGATCAACAAGAACTACTGGTTGACGTCTTGCTCTTCGCATAAACTACACAGAAAAATAGAAAAAGTGAGATCACAAACCAACCAGAAAGAACAACAAAAATTAAACAAACAACAATTAAAACAAAAATTAAACTCCAATCTAGCTAACACAAGAAAACTCAATGTTAACACAAAACTCAATCCCCAGCAACGGCGTCAAAAACTTGATGCGTTGTTACTACAACATGCAATGATAGCAAGTGCACTAGTCGCACAAAGTAATAGAGTGATGAGTGAGTATCGTTCCCACGAGGATTGATTATTAAGCACTAATTTTCCTAAGTTTTTTTTCAAGTTGGAGGAACCGAATTTGTTTGGATTAATGGGAGAGATTAAAACTAAAACTAAAACAAAACTTACTAAGTATTAAAAACTAATTAATGAAGGCAAGATTTAAAGGCAAGAGTAATATCAATTTAACAAAAGGTTAGGGTTTTGACTTCATTCGGACTCTATGGATGAATTCTACGGATTATGCTATTTTCACACTCACATGCACAGATCATAAATTGAATTCTCTAAGTTGTCAAACATACCTTCTCAGGCTATGAATTCCTACTTTTCCCTATTAAACTTCCGCACCCAACAATTTGAAGAATAATAGATCCAAGTTCATTAAGCTAATGGAATCCTAGATTGATTTCATTGATTCTCAAATATATCTCTAGCATTCAATACTACAATGGTGATTACCCAAGAAGCTTAATATGATTCATCTCTCAATCTCATCATATTCATCACCTAAAATCAATAAAAACGGAATAACCACACAATCTGCGCAATAGAATATCAAAATAACAATAATCAACTGATTAACCCATAGAAATCTAAGTTACATCAAAACTCTAACCCAAAATGGGTTAGTTCATAACTAAATCAACACAAACATCAAGAATAACAGTAAATGTAGCATTCAACATATTGAAATAAAGAGAAAAGAAAAGAAATCTCCCCTAGTTGAAGAATCCACGAGGTTGAATCTCAAATCCTCTCACTTTCTTACCAAAAATGTCAAATCTATCAAAACTCAATGAAAACCAGACGAAACTAGACGACCCCCCTCAAAATGGCAAAGTTTTTCTTATATAGCTCGCTCGAAAAGACCTAAAACTTTCCTAAAATAAAACTGTGTGTTTTGGAGAAACTAAAATTTGCAGACTTCGCTACGGCAAAGGTAAAAATGACTCTCGTGCTTAACTTCTTTCGCCGCGGCGAACTTCATGAAGAATTCTAAAATTACAGAATTGCCCTCCGCTCGCTTCTTTGCTTGAATCTTTGATCTTCGATGCTCTTCCATCGGAACAAGCTTCATAATGCTTCAATCTGCTTCCGAACTCTCCCAAATTTTGAGATCCGCTTACTTTTGGGTCCAGAAACTCCAATTCACTTCTTATTTGCTCAAAATGTCCATTTTGGCCTACAACACAAAATGTATAGAATTAAGTAGCAATTCAGGCATAAATGAACTAAGAAGTATCTAAAATCCGGCCAAAAAGCCTAATTAAAACAATATAATTCTCGGATTATCAGCCACCTCCTTAAACCCTTCTAAAACCGAAACCGGTGGGGTGTACTCAAAAAACTCTAAAAAGCTAATGTTGCCATAGCAATGGCCACCCTCAACAACAAAGAAAGCTTGAAATACATAGGGAAGAAGACAAGAGCCTTACCGAAGTGCAAAATGCGGTGGGAGTTCCTCATCATAAATGTGAGAGAGCAACGGCGGAATAAGAAGCAAATAAACTTTAGGGAATTGCAAATGTATAATTTTGATGAAGGATGCCCGCTTTTATACTGGTAAGCATGGGAGATGAAGAGGCGGGATTCGACCTCGACCGTCAATCTTTGATGAATCTCAGCCCTCTATTCATCTAGCAATCTTGACCGTTCGATGTGGCCATGTGTCGATCATCCACAAGGGGCGATTATCTATCAGAATTCTACAATCATAATCATCTTCGCACGTCGCCTCGACTTCACGTCTAGACAGTTGTAGTCACCCATGTGCGAAGAAAAGTAACTGCAAAAGCCGACTACCTTTAATGCGACATGACCACGTGAAAATTACTCGCATGCCCCTAGTTTCAAATTCCAGGTTTATCATGAATGTCACAGTAGGAAAAAGGCTAAGTCTTGTTCACGTCAACTGAAATTAAGTCCGACTCATGAAGCTCAGCCAAATTTGCATTCAACATACAACTTGTGGAGTTCGAGCTCAATATCACATCGAGCAATTAGTCTTTGAAGTTCAAAACAAGCACCGAACACTAAGGGGCAGATGTTGTGTGTGATTTTTCCATTAAGCTCAGAGTAGTTAGAGTTCCGCAAGGTTGTAGTCCGACCCAAAATCAGGTCGGCTCAACACTTGTTCGACCCAGCATATATAAGCTCGTCGAGATATAGTTCAACCCAACATAAGCGAGTCGCGACCAATCCAGACAGTTGTTTGAGCAAATCATAGATAAGCTCAAATCCCGGATAATTTGGAAGAGATCAGATCAACAGCAATGATAGCGCAATCCTAGCACTCAATCACAAGAATATCGGAGTTGCACCTTAATCTTGATTGTAATTTCTTTAATTTCGCTATTTCCTTTGTAAAAAACTTATATATAAACCCCTTCCAATGATGAAAGAGGGGTTAGGAAATTGTTCTAGGCATAATACTAACTTCTTGTAAGCTCTTTAAGCAAATAAGAAAAGCAGTGGACGTAGGCTCAAGATTCAAACTTGCCGAACCACTTTATAAACATTTCGTGTTCTTTACATTACTGTTCTTGCATTCATATTACATTCCTGATTATGTTTAATCACGCGCACATCGGTTCCGATTCCACCAAGATCAATCGGATCACTCTTGGTGTATTTCTTGCATCAACATGTTACAATACAAAAATTGAGGATATTCTTATCTTTGCAGCGATAAATTTAAGATTCTATGTGAGATAAAGTAGAATAATGTCGCCTCAAATTGCGGTAATTTACATGAATTTCCAAACTTAAATTGAAGTATTAAGGTCAATAATATTAATAATGTCATCATTTGGACAGATATATCACCATAAAATCTCAGACCGTAACAAACCGTAATCGAGTTCGGTGTATACTCATAAAATTCAACCAATCTAATTATAGATAATTGACAATGTAGATTCCACCATGTTTTTAATTAGTCCAGACAATGTCTTCAATTGCACAAATCATGTTACTCATGGCACAAGAGGAATTCAAAGTACAAAATAATTTGGTTCCTTGAAGACTTCATAACCTCAACCACGTGCGATGCCTATTCATTTTTAACAAATCTTTCAAATGTACATATTTACTAATTAATATTACGTATTTTAGATTTATTTATCAATTTTGTACCTCAAATGATTTGACTCTACTCTTAAATGATCAAAGAACTGATCAATCAAATGTCAAATATTGATCAATGTTATGTCACTTAATTAAGATTTAAAAATTGAAATAATATAACAATTCATTTAAAATGAATAACTTAATTTCTCTCTTCTTTAAAATGAATAAAAGCACAAAAAGTAGGTTGACTGTAAATGGAAGTTTTCCAGGGCCAACAATTCAGCCTCCAAAAGGCGATACTATGTTCGTTAATGTCATCAATCAAGGAACATATGGCGTCACCATTCACTGGTGATAACTTAATTTCTCTCTTCTTTAACATTAATCAGAGCTAATGAATAAAATATCCAAAATAGCTTAAGAATTTTCCTTAAGCAACATCTTAATTTTATCCATGGAAAAGTAAACTCTATCAAACAAGAGGTAGTAGGAATTTCCAATATAAATAATACTACATAATCATACAACATTATGTGACAAAAAATGATTGGATGAAAGTTTAATTTACATTTAAAATCAACCAATCATACTTTGCCACATAATGTTGTATTAATACTATTACTCTTTTAACATTATCTTACTTATGATGAAACAGGATTTTTTTTTTTTTTTTTTTTTTNAAAAAAAAAAAAAAAAAAAAAGGTACATGTTATACATTATAATAATGTGAAAGTTTCATATGAGCAATTAAAAAAATGTTTCATATGACTATATGAGCAATTAAAAAAATGTGATTATTAGTTTATAAAAGAGAATATCTTTGGTAAGAAAAAAATAAAAAATAAATAAGACTCAAATATATAAAATAATTAGACAAATAAAGATAACCTACAGCTTTAAAAAATGACATCTTACATAAATTAATAAATAGATAGTAATTAGGAATGGCACTGGTAATACCTTGACGGAAATCAAACGACTTGTGTAAGAGTTGATCTTGTGAATTAATTATCTTTGTTAATTATCTAAAATCGATCTTACAATTTTTTTTTTTTTTTACTATTGGAGTTTCACACTAATTAGGCACGCTCAAGTCTACTAGTTTATAAGAGGGGTAATCCTCCTATTCAACAAAACCTTATTGGGTGAGGAGTCAAACTCACCTCAAATTCTATTATGGTATCAAAGCTAAGCTTAGTTGAGTTGAATGCTTGACCAACATGTGAGAAGTTAAAACCGACAACTATCTCCAAGACATGACCTAATATATAGACTTGACCGTGAGGAGAAGTGTTGGAGTCTCAAACCGACTAAACCGGCTTGCATGTTCAAGCCTACTGATTTATAAGAGAGGATAATCCTCTCTTTCAACAAGATTTTATTGGGTAAGGAGTCAGACCCGCCTCAAATTCTATCCTCGTTACATTTTCATTTCTAGGCCTCCAATAAAATGATTTTAATTTCTTTTCCCCTCCAAAAGCTTTTTTACTCTTAGTATAAATACCCAGGAGACGAAGCTAAAAATCAGAGAAGAAAGAATTAAGGCGACCTGAGAACACAAAAGACACACCAAAATGGGTATAAAGAATAAGGGTTTCATTTCAGGGCTTTTAGGGTTCTTATGTCTAGATGGGCTGCTTCTTTGCTTAGCTGCCGATATCCACTATTATGATTTTGTAGTAAGTACAACTGATTTTAGCATTTACAGTTGATTGATATATTTTTTTTTTCATTTTTTTTTAATTCTGGTTTTTATTGTTTTTATGTTTTAATGGGGTATTTCTGTGCATTTTTTTTAGCTACAAGAAGCGAATTTTACGAAGATGTGTAGCACAAAAAGCATGTTGACTGTAAATGGAAGTTTTCCAGGGCCAACAATTCAGGCTCGTAAAGGCGATACGATGTTCATTAAAGTCATTAATCAAGGGACATATGGTGTCACCATTCACTGGTTATAACTTAATTTCTCTCCATCTCCCTTTAATTACAAAAATGAGAGATGATGCATCAATTATATCTGAAAAATTAGCTAAAGAATTTTCCTTCTATTTTTCTAGGCATGGAGTGAAGCAACCAAGGAATCCATGGTCAGATGGTCCCGAGAACATTACACAGTGTCCAATTGCAGCAGGAACCAGCTTCACTTATGAGGTGATATTGTCAACGGAAGAAGGAACTCTTTGGTGGCATGCTCATAGTGACTGGACTCGTGCCACAGTCCATGGTGCCATTGTTATTTTACCAGCTGCTGGAACTACTTATCCATTTCTTACGCCTTATAAAGAACAGACAATCGTACTTGGTATTCGAAATTTTACGTCTAAATTATTCTAATGACTATTTGTCCTAATAATATAAAGTATAAATAACTGCTTGGAACGAAACTGATGGAAGAAACAATTTGATATATATTTGTCAACTAAAAAATTTTGTTAATGATTTTTCAATTCCAATATTAATCTTGTATTGGCTGCAGCATCATGGTTCAAGGGAGACGTGATGGCGATGATAACTAATTCAATCGCAACTGGAACCAATCCTACTCAGGCAGATGGTTACACGATCAATGGCGAACCAGGGGACTTATATGATTGCTCCAACGGTATAAAGATTATAAATCTATAAAACTTAAAATGTGAAATTAGAATTATTAATTCATTATTATGCCAAACTCATTTTTTAATGCTATATTTGAGACATTTTTGAAGCTAAAACTTTAGTATTTTATATGTCTAAATTCTTCAGTTATTATTACTATCTTCTTTCTTCTGCTTTCACAGTGTATAAAAAGTCAAAAGAAACTTTCATTCTGTCTAATATACCAATTCGGCCTTTTAACTGTAACTTTAGTGTCCGAATTGTTAAGATTTTATAATCTATAAACTTGGTAAGACATTAATTGTTACTATATTCTACTTACATATTATTTTCTTTTACATAAACTTGGTATTGAAAATTTGAAATTACGACTCTAAATCTCTGATACAAGACTATGTATAAAAACCAATATAACACACAAATCAAAGAAAAAAGAAAAAGAAGAAGGCAAAAGTAATACATATATTAAACTCAATAAATAATTAAAACAAATAATGTGAAATTAAAAAAACATTGTAATCTTAATTTATCTACAGAAGTACAAAAGTGTTTATATATGTACACATACATTACGATACAAGTTAATTAATATTATTAATATTTTATTCAAAATTTTCCATTGATATATAATTCATTTTTCTTCCTCAATTTTATATATCACATTGCAGAGACAACATATCGCCTATCAGTTGAATATAACAAAACTTATCTTCTACGCATTGTGAATGCCGTGATGAATGAAGAACAATTTTTCGGAATCGCAAACCACAGCCTCACTGTTGTTGCGCAAGATGCAGCATACATAAAACCAATAAACACCACTTATATAATGATAACTCCTGGACAAACGATGGACGTTTTGTTCACAACTAACCAAACTCTTAGCCACTTTTACATGGCTGCTTCTCCTTACCATGATAGCGTTCTCACATTTCCCAACTCCACCGCGACCGCAATTGTTCAATACGAAGGCAATTATACCGCTCCTTCGTCTCCTTTCTTCCCAACTCTTCCTGCTTACAATGACATCGATGCCGCACAAAAATTCACTAACAGCGTAAAGAGCTTGGCAAATGAAGAGTATCCCATCAGTGTTCCGGAAAGAATTAACACGCGAATCTATATAGCGGTTTCTTTAAACGCATTAAGATGTTCCAACAGTTCGTGTGATACCGCTGATGGTGATAGGACAGCTGCAAGCTTAAATAATGTTAGTTTCGATACTCCTCAAATTGATATACTGCAAGCATACTACGGGTACGAGATTTTTTATTTTTTGGCTATTCTATTATATAATTACCTTATCATTGAGCCTTAATCACATACTAGCTTAAGTTTTTAGATGGAAAAGACAATTTAACATGATATTAGAATTACAAGTCTAAAGTTCAAATCTGCACATTACAAAAACCAAATTGCACGTGAGAGGTCTATTGGACTAATATAATATTAAAATTTTAGGTAGGATGACAACTTAACAATCATAATAAAATCTGTGATATTTTCTTAAACCTTTGTCTTTTAGGAGTTTGAATTATGTTTTTGACCCGGATTTCCCAACTGAGCCACCGGTTTTTTTCAACTTCACCGGAGATGTGTCGAACGTATCAAGGTACACAGCCCAAGGGACAAAGGCGAGGATGATTGATTATGGTCAAGCAGTTGAAATTGTGTACCAAGGGACTAATCTCGGAGCTGCATCAAGCCATCCAATGCATTTACACGGCTTCAGCTTCTATCTCGTTGGGACAGGTTCCGGGAATTTCAACAGTGTGACTGATCCAACCAATTATAATTTGGTAGACCCTCCAGAACTTAACACCATTAACCTTCCTAAAAATGGATGGGCTGCAATTCGATTTGTTGCGGATAATCCTGGTAATTAACATCTCTTCAACATAATTAATCTGCATGACAATAATTCATGATCTCCAGCTTATATGAGTTCAAATTTTGAACAGGAGTGTGGTTTATGCATTGTCATATTGAAAGGCACGCAACCTGGGGAATGGATACGGTTCTTATTGTAAAGAACGGTACTACTCCGAACACGTCGATGCTGCCACGTCCTACTTACATGCCGCCTTGTTCTTAATTAATGATTCTATTATATTTTCATAATAAAGTTGTCTGTGATTAACTAGTCCATGAAGGCTTATTGGACTTCTGATGTACCAAAAGATTTGAATAATATCTTTTGGAATGACTTCAGTTTTAAATAAAATGAAAGTTAATAATTAACTGACAAAACTTCTCTCTCTCTCTCTCTCTCTCTCTCTCTCTCTCTCTCTCTCTCTCTCTATATATATATATATATCTTACTGTTTTGTGATAAATAATTTGTATTTGTGATGTTGGGAACATGTATAAGTAGTTTGTTTAACTCATCATTTATACACATCTGTTTGATTAGGTTGGATGACTAGATCAAGATTTGAACAAAAAAAAAAAAAAAAAAAAATGGTTTTTGGTTGTTTGTTGGATTTACTTGATTAAAGATTTGGTGACGGTTGAGAGAGTTTTGATGATAATTAATTTTGAATTCTTGATCCATGAACATGGACTTTGTTGACACCTACGTACGACACCACTTATAGATTGAGCTTGTAATGTATTTCATTGAAATGACACATTTGGAACAATTAAGAATATTATTTTATCCTAACCAGAATAAGTATCCTGGATAAAGCAGCTAAAGATTACAAAAAAGATTGGTTTTATTTTAAGGTTCACCATTATGATTTTGTAGTAAGTGCTTTATTTATAGTTGTTTATATTTCTAGGAGATTTTTATTTGTTAGTTTTCTCTTGGAGTAAGTTTGGGAAGATCCTCAAGGCTTTTAGCCGTTACAAAGAATTATATTGCTTGGATAAGTAGTCAATGCCATGATATGATACATGTTTTATATGTTACAGATAGGATAGTGTTTCTGTTTCATATGAGGGAAAAGACCTCCAAGAATAATGAGAATTGAAAGTTTAGGGGAAGAGAACTTTATTGATTATTGCCTGCCAAACCCTATTTGTTTTAGGTTTATATAGCCTTACAAATTATTCTAATTCTAGAAAGACTCTGATGCTTAATTCAAAAGATAATATCCTAATTCAAAAGATATTCTAATTAGATAATAATATAATTATAAAGGATTTAACCTAATAATCCTAATTCAAAAGAAATCCTAACACTTCCTTCCCTTCGTTCAACCAATCCTCAAGGTTACAAGGTACTGCACTATCAACAGTAGTTATCCTGTTTGTTCTCACTGTTCGTTGTCGTTATTGCTAGCAGAGAATCGCATCCTCCTCCTTCTCCTCAATCAATAAGAGAAAGAACTTGGCCTTGTAGTGATGCCTAGGTGGAAGTGTTAGGAGATGATCCATTGAGGTAGCGGGAAACAAAAACAATAATACAAGGATCATTCAATAAGCAAGATAGGGTACAATTTTATAGTTTATACCAAATAAGAATCTGCAGAAAATTAATCTAGAGTTTAAGAAATCATACGCACGTTTGGAGGCTCGTCCAACTTTGTCTCTGAACGTGTTTTGCTATCGACCCAAGTGTAGGATTGAAACGCCGTAGTACACGAAAGACAATCGCAGGAACTAAGGAGGGATTTGCTAGATCCCTCTTTAGCCTTAAGAAACAAGAAGAAATGAAGAGTATTTTGATTTTCAATCAAAACCAAGTTTGGCGTGGGAGAGAAGAAAAGGGCTGTGTGTTTTCTCTTTTACAATGAAAATGAGTCAAATGAATTCCTTCCTTTACAAATAACCTTTTTCTTTTATAGTAAAATTTTAATTGCCCTAATCCCATACGGAATAGGCTTGGGCTCCAACCCAAACGCCCCATGTTGCCAAACACTCCCAATTTGATTTATTTTATTTTCCATCATTATCTCAATTAAAATCAATTAATATATATTTAAATATATATTAACATTTAACAATAATGATAATATATTTAAATATGTGCGAACACACATTTAAACGTAATTTCACTTATTTAATTTTTCTAACAAATTAAATAAAGGCTACGACCTCAGCAAATTTAATTGCACTGTGAAATTACCAAAATACCCTTTCACCTAAAAAGACGAAACCGCCCTTCTTACTTCCTGAGTCTTAAATTATCTTTTATGTGTGTGACCCATAGGCTCCTCATCATACCGGTAGTGTATAGTATCGCGATTAACACTAATTAATCGTCTCACTAATACACAGACCAAGATTAGCCCCTAGCAAGGCATTATGGCCACCCGACAGATTCGAATTCAGCAAAGTAACTACCTGTCAACGATATGGTTATCGTACAATTCGATCCTTTCATCATACGTTATCTCGACGAGACGAAGGCATAGAAATAGTGTCAACCTTCGATTACTCTCAATATTATGTATTCAGTTTCTAGACCAATGACCTGTATTATAAACTCGATAGAGGAACAACTCAATCCCACTGTGGCCACAGTTTTAGTATCATTGTCATATACTGAATTGCGCCATGAGATAACTTCTCTCGTACCCGGGAGTAATGAATCCTTTGTCTATCCGCCATAGTCTTAATACACTTCTTGATGCAGCCAATCACCACCGTATTGACAGCTCTGAATAGAACTGCGTTAGGCTAGTGTCAACTACACCAATTGGTGTACAAGGCACTCCGGTGATCTCAAGTCTAAGGATCACATGTACCACCATTCGTTAGAGGATTTGTTCCATAGACACTAGGGTTACCATCCATATGGAATCCTTTGGTGGGTCAGTCTAATGAACTTGTTGCGGTGTATTCGCCTACAGCAAGCACCCATGTATTGAACCAGGTTGTCACCAAACAACCTTGACAAGTGAGATCAGTCATTGCCTTTCGACAAGGTCGTTCAACATTATGGTAGCCTTACCGTATTATCTGTGCCCTTACTTCAGAATAATACTAGGGCTATGGACGTTTCTAGAATGGCCACCATATGTGCTCATAGGGTTCTCATTATCAAGATTTGAAACATTTGATACACTCGTCACGGTTCTACCATTCTAAGGACATGTATCAATACATATTGCAATAATAATGATTTACGCGATATAGAATAAAATACCTTTTATTGATTAATGAACATTATTATAAAGAGTCAATTCTACAATAATTGATTGGCTCTAGGGCATCTACTCTAACAGGAAACGCTCATCACAGTTATAGCACAAACCTCTGTCGCAACATTCTTGCATCTATGCTGCCGTGAGCCTTCTAACAGGAATGGAATCTAATTGGTTTGGAGTCGGCAAGAGGGTCTGTTGCGCTAAAGGAATATTAGGAGCTGATTTATTAGGATCCCAAGATATGGGGCTGGCAGGTTGTAGGTATAGGTGTAGATCTTGTAGCTTGTCCTCCTGCAAGCAGGCAAGACTCATGTCGTAGTTGAGGGTGTGAGGTCGGAAAGACTAAACCTTCTGTCAGATTTCTAGTTTGAGCCCTGATATAAAGCAACTCATAATGAACGTATCTGGAAGGCTAAAAACTTGATTGGACAACTCTTCAAATTGAGATTGATAATCAACCACTGACCCCTGTTGATAGAGCTTTGAAAGTTGACCTTGAAAATCCACAAATTCTGAGTCCTAAAACAAACTTGCAAATCCTGAGTAAATGAATGCCATGATCAAATCTGGCCGTTGGCATACATCCAGTGATACCATGACAAGGCTAGGCCATCCATGTAAAAAGAGGAAATTTTAAGATATTGTTCTAATGGGGTATCATGGTAATTGAAAAATGTTCTGCCTTAAACAAAAAACCCTTTGGATCATATCCATCAAAGTGAGGAACATCAAGGTAGAAAGGTTTAAAAGGCAAGCCTTGACTATTAGAGCACGAAAGGGATGCCCCCCTTGGCTCTTTGGCAAAACACTTCAACAACGACGTGCCGCTTGTTAGTGGCTATTGATGCTGAAATTGTTCCCAACAAGCATTCAAAACTGACACCTTAATGCCTAACTTGTTAACAAACTGCTCTAATAAATCAAGCTTCTCCATTACAGCAACCTAAGTGGTCATCTATTTTTGCATCTGCTGCTCCAAAGTCTTCAAACCTGGGTTTTCCACCATTGAGAAGAACGAGAACACCAAATGATAGGATTGTGTTTTTGTTTTATATGAGGAAACAAAACCTCCAAGAAGAAAGAGAATTGAGAGTTTAAGGGAAATAAACTTTATTGATTATTGCCTGCCAAACCCTAATTGTTTTAGGCTTATATAGCCTTACAAATTATTCTAATTCTAGAAAGACTCTAATTGCCTAATTCAAAAGATAATAGCCTAATTCAAAATACATTCTAATTATTCTAACTAGATAATAACATAATTATAAAAGGATTTAACCTAATAATCCTAATTTTATCCTAATTCAAAAAGAACCCTAACAATTACACATATAACTCTATCTCGCTATTTTTTCGGTTTTATTTTTGAAAGATATAATTTTAAAGGGTATTGCTATGCATGTTTTTGTAGCTAAAAAAGGTGAATTTTACAATGAAGTGTAGCACAAGAAGCATGGTTAACTGTAAATAGTAGGGCTTACTATTATGGCTCCAAAAGAGGATACTATATTCGTTAATGTCATAAATCGAGGAACATATGGTGTCACCATTCATTGGTATGATTCTCTCTCCATCTCCCTTTAACAATTATCATGAAAATAACAAATAAAATACCAAAACTTAATGCTAAAGAATTTTTTTTTTTTTTTCTAATTATGCAGGCATGAGGTGAAGCAGCAAGGACTCCGTGGGCATGCTATGTCAAATTAAATTTTCGAATTAAAATGGTACACAAATTTTCAACCTTTTATTTGCTTCAATATAACAATTATGAATCGACAGTTAAGAGGATAATTAAAGCAACTCATTGTAGATGGTAAAATCTACCTGAAAGTCCTTTGGATTTGATCGTGTGAGGAATGAGCCATTGACAATCTCGTAGAGTTGTAGAAACAAAGAAGAGTGAACGCAAAGCACTAGGTGACACCGGTGTGGTGTCAGTTGTAGGCACTTCAACACTCAAGTCAGCACGGTTGTGGGATATTTAGCAAGACTAGGGGTAGGAAATAGTTTACTGGGAGTGTGAAGCTTGGGAGCAACTTATTAGCGTAGAGTGGCTGAAACTCGGCTCTACAATGATTACCCGCGTTGAGTGGTTGGAACTTGACTCTACGAAGAGGAAATGCGATGGCTTTTGGGAGCA